TGTTCGTCTGTCTCCCTGCCCGTTCCTTTGTCTCTCTTGCCCGTCTCTCCGTCCGTCTGTCGGTAAGAGGCGACGTCGCAACTACTGGTGTACATGTGATCCAAATTTTTAAAAAATACAAAAAATATCTGGTTTAATACGTAGGCTTTCGCGACCGATATCATCAATAACAGGTTTTTTTTGTGGGGTTAGATCGCGTGCATATGTAAACATATAAATGCGTCGGGTTTTAACGACACATTTATATATTTACGCGATCTAGCACCCCCCCCCCCAAAGTCTCTATTATGATGGATGTTTTTATTTTGTCACAATCCATCGCTCCACATCATCGGCGGAGGTCCTCTCGGACGCGTTCCATTCCACGGCTGCCGCTCCATCGCCACTCTTGCCCATCAGTCGCCTTTCCTTCTAGCCACGGCCGTCATATATTTGTCTATTTGTGGCGTCAGAATTCTACATGCCTGCATGACACCTCCAAGCAAGGGTTATACATATATAAGTATTGTTTTATCGGAGAAATGGCTCCAAACTCTCTTGCCACCACTACCAGCACCAACGTCTCGGTTTAAATATATTTTTTATGAAAATGCTTTCGTTTACGCTCCACGTTTTAATTTTATTTAATCATAGCAGTCACGCAATATTGCAAAGAGGTACTCCTACTGAGCTGCAGTGGCTGCATCTTGCGAAGACGGAGGGCGCCTGCAGCGTCAAATGTTCGAGACCGTGAGGGTAACGACGCTGTGATGAGAGGAGCCGCGATTTAGAAGAGCCTCCAGGTGCGACCGTGAAGAGACATATCAAATATTGGGGCTTCACCTGACCGATCGCCGGACCCCCTTAGCTGATATCGTCGTTACGACGCCACTGATGACGTCGTTACTATGCCACTGATGACGTCGTTACTGCGCCACTGATGACGTCGTTACTACGCCACTGATGACGTCGTTACTACGCCACTGATAAAGTTGTTACTACGCCACTGATAACGTCGTTACTATGCCACTGATGATGTCGTTACTACGCCACTGATGACGTCTTACTACGCCACTGATGACGTCGTTACTACGACACTGGTAACGTCGTTACTACGCCACTGATAACGTCGTTACTGCGCCACTGATGACGTCGTTACTACGCCACTGATGACGTCATTACTACGCCACTGGTAACGTCGTTACTACGCCACTGATGACGTCATTACTACGCCACTGGTAACGTCGTTACTACGCTACTGATGACGCCGTTACTATGCCACTGATCACGTCGTTACTGCGCCACTGGTAACGTCGTTACTGCGCTACTGATGACGTCATTACTACGCCACTTATTACGTCATTACTACGCCACTGATGACGTCATTACTACGCCACTGATGAAGTCGTTACTGCGCCACTGATGACGTCATTACTACGCCACTGGTCACGTCGTTACTACGCCACTGATATCGTCGTTACTGCGCCACTGATGACGTTGTTACTGCGCCACTGATGACGTCGTTACACGCCACTGATGATGTCGTCACTACGCCACTGATGACGTCGTTACTACGCCACTGATGACGTCGTTACTACGCCACTGATGACGTCGTTACTACGCCACTGATAACGTCGTTACTGCGCCACTGATGACGTCGTTACTACGCCACTGATGACGTCATTACTACGCCACTGATGACGTCGTTACTACGCCACTGATGACGTCGTTACTACGCCACTGATAACGTCGTTACTGCGCCACTGATGACGTCGTTACTACGCCACTGATGACGTCATTACTACGCCACTGGTAACGTCGTTACTACGCCACTGATGACGTCATTACTACGCCACTGGTAACGTCGTTACTACGCTACTGATGACGTCGTTACTACGCCACTGATAACGTCGTTACTGCGCCACTGGTAACGTCGTTACTGCGCTACTGATGACGTCATTACTACGCCACTGATTACGTCATTACTATGCCACTGATGACGTCATTACTACGCCACTGATGAAGTCGTTACTGCGCCACTGATGACGTCGTTACTGCGCCACTGATAACGTCGTTACTGCGCCACTGATGACGTCGTTACTACACCACTAATGACGTCTTTACTGCGCCACTGATGACGTCGTTACTACGCCACTGATGACGTCGTTACTGCGCCACTGATGACGTCGTTACTACGCCACTGATGACGTCGTTACTGCGCCACTGATAACGTCGTTACTATGCCACTGATGACGTCGTTATTACGCCACTGATGACGTCGTTAATGCGCCACTGGTGACGTCGTTACTACACCACTGATAACGTCGTCACTACGCCACTGATAACGTCGTTACTACGCCACTGAAGACGTTGTTACTACGCCACTGGTAACGTCGTTACTACGCCACTGGTAACGTCGTTACTACGCCACTGGTGACGTCGTTACTGCGCCACTGGTAACGTCGTTACTGCGCCACTGATGACGTCGTTACTATGCCACTGGTGACGTCGTTACTGCGCCACTGATGACGTCGTTACTACGCCACTGGTGACGTCGTTACTGCGCCACTTCTCCCTACCAACAATCAACCACACAGCACACAAACACACACACGTCTATCCCACCGCTCCTCCTACACACCTAGCGGGTATACTCGTAGCCACCCAACTCCATAACACCCCCCCCCCCCCCGCACTGTGTGAAGTCACGGGCATGTCCCCTCGTATTACTACAATAACACAACGACACTGTCACACTTTCGGCTTCGTCCGTTGCTTTTATTCGTGTTGTTTTATAATGAAACATGTTCTCACGTATTTACAAATGACACACATTGGCTCGACACACACTCAAAACAATAAAACTCCAGTTGAAAGTTTGGGGGGGGGGGGGTGGCGTGGCTGCCTAGGCTTATTTCTGTACAATCTCATCATAATATAGCAGTGGTCCACAACGCAATTAGTGAAGTACAAACTACACCAATGGTTCTTAACCTGGGGTGCAACGCATCCCCTGGGGATGCGTGATGCCCTTTCTGGGGGTGCGAGACACGGACAGATTTGTTTCGAAGGTAAATCATCGCAAACACAAATTAAGCACGGTCACACACGTTACAACTTACGTTATTTCATCAACCCCTCTACGTGTTTATTAAAATTGTACATTTGTTTTAACGATTGGGAACCAAAGGGGCCCAAGGCTGCAGTCAAGGTTAAGAACCACCGCGCTTCAGAATGATGGCTTGTGATGGAGAGGGTGCTCTACGGCGATTAAGTTTGTCATGTTCACTGAAGGTAACAAGTGCATAGATGACCACGACGACGATGGTGATGATGATGGTGGTGGTAATGAGCAATTATCATAATGAGCGTGCTATGCTTGTGATGATGGTTCAGGTTGCATGATGATCAAGCGTCCTCATGATCGCGTGATTTACACAGGACGACGATGATCGTGCAAATCCATCGATGGCCTCCAACGATGATCTCACGATGACACCAATGGGATTCAACAACGCCGCGAATTCCGTGAATTCAAGAGTCGTGACGAATGTCTCATGGCAAAAAACGGTGAATAATATATCCTGCGAATCACGATTTCAACTTGTAACGTGCCGCGCTGTATGCGCTCACCCTTGAAGGGACAGAGAGATATCTGCTCAGAGGCGCGAGGGGGAAACGCAGGCGATCGGGGAAGGCTGCAGCCACGCAGCGTGTAGCAGGGGCCAAACATTACCCAAGCTCTGCGATCCTCTATAGATTAAGGCGTCATTGGCCAATCTTCTTCTTTCGTATGGCATTTAAGCAACATACTGTAAATGTTGTGGATTGGCTCTCCAACACACGGGTGTGCTGTACTAGTGACGAATTGGCCACGTTGTGTTTACGTGACAACCCTTACTAATTGGCTGCGTCGGGTGGTGGCGGGTTTAACGACACATTTATATATTTACGCGATTTAACCCCCCCAAAAAACACCTGTATTATGGATAGATGGCAGAGTTGAACGTTAAGGTCCTTCATCCAATCCAAGGCGGCAGTGGATGCTGTATGGATTGCCAATTAATAAGTGCTTACCATGTGGGAGGAAACCGGAGCGCCCCGGAGAAAACCCACCCGTGGAGGGAGAAACACTCGATCCCACTGAGACGGGACAGGTGGAGTCCACATTTTCTGCTATCCCGCCGGGGTATACGGCTCCTCCTGGACGTCCACGGAAGGGAGTGTAGCGACTCCCACGTGTGGTAAGCCACCAACCCTCAGTGCCGGATTATCCTCGTAGCAAAAGTAGCTACACGTGTAGTAGCTACGGGCCCCGCACTTTCAAGAGCCCCGCGCTAAATGCTTTCAAGCTATCAATTCCGGTTCAGTGATTCTGCATTTGCTCTATTACTACAGTACTATACCGCCTTCAACTTTTATGAAGGACTGGGTGTTTAAGGTTAGCGATGTGTCGTATTATCTGGCTGTATAGCAAATGAAAAAATACAATTACTTAACTGTGAAAGTAAACAAAAAATGTGTTTTAATAATTATGTTTTTTAAAATATATGTAGGACCCCTTTATAACGTCATGCTACAGGCCCCGCATTAGCTTCGTCCGGCACTGCCAACCCTCGCTGCTGTCTCCACAGCGCTGGATTATAGGCGACGTGCATAGCCATCATGACAATGTGAATTTAATGTGATGATGATGTGAATTAAATGGTGATGTCAATGATTAACTCATGATAATCACGTGAGCCATCCATGATTGTGAGGATATGAATTAAATTACGTGGATGTTGATAGCGATGATGATGATGGTGGTGGTGATAGACCTTTCATAATGCATAACATGCAAATGTATTTTTTTTATTTAAAGCTTTCGTGACTGCGGTGATTCATATTCTTGGTTCTTTCGGTAAAGTCACGTTGAAGGGAAACAATAAATATGTATACAAAATAAAATTCTCACGACGTTTCGACTGCAACATAAGCTGATGATGACTGCTTGTGTTGCAGTCGAAACGTCGTGAGAATTTTATTGTTTTATATAAATTTTATTATTTTATTGTTTCCCATCAACGTGACTTTACTGAAAGAACTAAGAATATGCAAATGTATATTAAACATGATTATGATTGTTGTGAATTCAACTATTATGCTCGGGATTATCTCATGGCAACGTGACGATGCTGATGCTGATGATGTAACTTTCCGACCGCCCCTACTGAACATCTGTGAAAAAAGAGCTTCATAGCTCATCGGATTCCTCCAGCCTAAGCGAAGACTTTTGATGATGTCTAGAGAATGAGGTGAGGCAGACTGTGACCTCCCCTTGCCTCCTCCAGCCCTCGCAGCCACCTCATGCACTTGTCACGAACGCCTGCGTCCACATGCAGCGTCCTGGCTGCCTTCAATCCACCGCCTTCACCACCACCACCACCGCCTTCACCACCACGACCACCACCGCCTTCACCACCACCGCCACCACGGTCGTCATCATCGTCCTCGTACTCCACGTCGTCGTAGCGGTGTCTGTCGTTGAGCAGGGAAATCCTGAGAAGTCCCTTCGGCACCTCCGTCTCGCTGAAGATCTCGCCTCCCAATCCTGTGAGAACACACGCATCATCGTCGTCATCAACCGTGATTTATCCACTGCTGGATGAAGGCGTCACCTCCGCCCAGACATTGCTTTCTCTCACAGACCCGCGATGCACGAATGCATCTAGTACCTGGTCATGAGCCTCCCCCAGGTCGACTCAGCCGTAAATAAGTACCGTACTGGTGCAGTGTGTAAACATCAGAACTGGGGAGACAAAGGCGGCCCGACGTGGCGTTGACCACCCATCCCGTTGTGCGCCGTACCGGCCTTAATCGGTGCTCGCTAACAGCACTTGCCCCAAGCTATACAGAGCAGCCTGTGAATGTTCGTTTCCTCGGTGCCCGTATCGCTCTGCGCATCTGTGTCGCTGTGTATGTCTGCCTCGCTGTGGGAATGTACTCGTCTCCATCCCTGCGTTTGTGTGTGTGTGTCCGCGTTATCAACAGCAGCAGCAGCACAAGCAGCAACTTCACCTTGGACCAGTTCTCCACTCGCCACGTGGCCCACGCCTCGCCCCCGCCCGTTCCCCCTCCCCGCCTGCCCTCGTCTCTCCTTCTCTCCCTCCTCATCCACTCCTCCCAGCCGCAGCCCCTGGGCGAGCCTCCTCTTCTGCAGGACTCCGATGGCCTCCGGGGTGAGGCACAGGGAGAACGGAGCCGCCGGGTCTCCTTCGGCACCCGGGAGGGCGCCCCCCTCTGCTGTGCCCCCCTTCTCGCCCGCGGGGGGCCTAGGCTGACAAAGTCTACCCTCACTCCGACCCCCAAGGAGGAAGTATCCCCGATGTCCCATCCCTTGGGGTCCCCTGACAAACCCTGGCCACGAATGCCGCAGCGTCTGCTTCGGCTGCAGGGCGAGGAGACGGCGAGGCATGGCGCGGTGCTGCTGCTGATCCCGAAAGGAAGATGCGTCCCCTCTCCTTAGGGTGCAGGGCCCGGGGTCCCCGCGATTCCCGATGGGTGGCAGGGAGAGAGCGGCGGGGTCCCTGGGGGTGCCACGCTGTGCCCGCTCTCTCGGGGCCACGGGTGGGCGAGGGATGACGATGCCACCCTTGGCGATGCTGTGCCAGCCAACATTCGCTGCAGAAGACATCGGTGCCCTGAGGCTGCGCAGCAAGCATTGACGCTCGCCGCAGCGCTGCGCCACGTGCGTTTGGGTTCGACCGCGCTCAGCTCGGTCCGATGTCCGACGTTATTGCTCCACGTGGTGCAAGCTTCTTCAGCAACTAACAACAAGCGGTGCAACCACGAAAAACACATCAGAGAGTTATACAGCAGGGCAACAGCGAACACCTCCGCGGTGTTGACATTCAGTGCGTGTGCGCGTGGTGCTGGCCACCCACCCCCTCGTGCGCCGTTCCAGCATTCATCGGCGCTCGTCAACAGCATTTGCTCCAAACAATTGCGCAGTCTAAAATTTTGCCCTCTGGCCTTTTCTTTCTATTTCATAACTGCATTGTTTTCTAGACAAATGTCCAATTCCTAATGGTTTCGAGACCACCGGTATGATGTACACCAGTCGTTGAGTCACGGTCGCCTCTGTGTGTACGAGACGCAGTGTAAACACGGTGTGTTCGATCATTGCGTGTTGTCCGCGTGCGTTATTGGCAGCTGCTGGCTGACGTGTTCAACAAACACGAAGCGATGCAAATAGCCAAAATACAAACCGCGCAAGTCGCGACTTGCCCCACATTTCGTCTGCACCTTATACCCAGATTTAATTACATCGGTCACATAGCTGTTAACCGATACGGTTTACCCCGTATTCTTGTGCAGCGAAATTGAGTTTTCAGGTCCATACGGCGTATAGGCGATTCAATAGGGGTAATTATTTTGTATCCATTTGTTTGTGTTTTTTCCCTTGCGATGGGACTTTGTAGGATGAACGTTGAGGTTTATAAGGGCACGGGGTCACCAATAAGGTCTGAATTGATCTGTAATAAGGGGTTGACAGATAGGCGGTAGCATTGTTCAGAAACGTTAGCTGGCCCTCGGGCACGAAACGTCGCTGGAAGGGGCTGACGATCGAGAGTCTGACCACCACCATCATCTCCACCACCATCACCACGGGACGTCTCGTCTCAGCGTGGAAGCGACGGCGGCCAAGCGACACCAGCGGCTGCTGAGATGACGAGGACTGCGTCCCAGCCGAGACTCCTCCATCAGATTCGTCAATAACGCTGCGGCCTTAATGGGATAACTAAATATGTACATTGATATTGCCGGCGACGCTTTGGACAATGACTCTGTGTCATAGCGCAGGGGTCGGAAATCGCAATAACAAGAATTCAAGAAGAGTATTTTGGTGGGGAGGGAATTCGATAACAAAACAAACACCTAAAATATAAAAAAATCGCAATGGACTGTGTGTTGATCACGAGACGGTGGTCTCTGAATGAATAACGTGACGAAGCCAGCGGTCCTTAAAGAGCCACCGCATGCGACTCAGGAGCCACAGGTTGTCGACCCCTGTGATGTGTATTTGTTCCTATGAAGGCCGCGGTGTTGTTGACGAACGTGTTGAGTCGCTTCGCTGCATGTTGCATGCGCGCCACCGCCCGGGAGCAGGATCGTAAAATCGCCTGTTGACTCTTCCTCCGTCGCGGTCGGAAGGACCGGGGGCGATCTACGGAAGACGATGCCCGAACCGCCTGCGTACAGAGGAGGTCTCGGTCGCCGCTGGGGGCGAAACCTCGACAGGACCTCGGAAAATCAACGTTTTGTCTCAAGTGCAGACCTCTACACTGAACTGCTCATTTGTTGAGAACTTTATTTTTGTGTTGAGTGTGTTGCTCTCTCCCCGGCGGGTGCCGTGTGGTATTTAAATGTTATCGCAGTTATTTTACATTGGCAGATTCGTACGTGATTATTCGCCAATGACTGTCGCGTACGATATAATTTCACGGATTTATAAATCGCGTCACATTGCCACGTGCTTCCCCCTCTCCGGACGAGAACCACCGCTCTAAGTTGGTCTGGTGGACAACGACGTCGAGGGAACGACAGAGCCAGCAGCCAAGGAATTGAACACGCACGCCATCGTCAGCCATGATCAAGCCACTGCTGGATGAAAGCCTCGCGTATAAGAAAGTTAACCTATTACACTTAAACTTAACGCCATGGATGGACTGGACCCCCCCCCCCATAGGAATGTGGAGTTTCCACCGCTGGCTTGGAGTTGGTTATTGACGGTGAAGAGCGCTGTGCCATTGCTCGTTTGAACAGAGAGCCACTGCGTCTCAACTTATCCACGCCGCTGTAATTCACCACGTCCAGGGGAAATCCACTCGCACCATGGCAGTCCAGTTTTACCATGGGAGTCCAGTTTTACCATGGGAGTTCAGTTTTACCATGGGAGTTCAGTTTTACCATGGGAGTTCAGTTTTAACATTCACAACAATCATGGTAAAACTGGACTTGCCATGGTAAAACCGGACTTCCTATGGTAAAACTGGACTCCCATGGTAAAACTCACATCCCAAGGTAAAACTGAGCTTCCTATGGTAAAACTGGCCTGGTTGCTGACCCCTGCACAGTTACTATACTATGCTCACATGTCCATACATTATTCACATTTTAATTAGACTATGTATCACAAAAGGTGGCTGTGTAAGAACATTTTCAAACTATAAGTGCCCGAACGACGCGCATGTTAAACAGTAGATATGGTACGAAGAACACGTCCCCTGTCTCGCGTTGTTATTCTGTTATAAAATCGTAAGAATTGCGATAGTAATTTACAGTCCTATGTTTATCCACCGCTGGATGAAGGCCTCCCCCAACACTACCGTGTCGGTCATGTATGATCGCAGTTCACTCGCCGCTGATGTTAGCCGGGGTAATTAACTCGGGTCGAAGGGCTTCGTTGCGCCATGCAGTGCGCTCACCACTGCGCCACCACTCCGCCTGCTAATATCGTGGCGAAGTAAAGACAAAGATCTACCCGTATAGTCTCAACAAACTGTTTGGGGCAAGTGCTATCAGCGAGCACCTATGGGGGCTGGCACTGCACACGAGTGGGTGGTGTGTCTATAACCACACCCGGCCGCCTTTGTCTCCCCAGTGACAATGTTTACAAAAGGCACCAAGAGCTCATTTGAGGCTGAGTCGACAACTGACACAGAGACAAAGATCCCCCATATAGCCTTAACAGACTGTTGGGGCAAGTGCTGTTAGCGAGCACCTATGGAGGCCGGAACGGCACGCGAGGGGTGGGTGGCCAACACCGCGCCCGACCGCCTTTGTCTCCCTAGTGACGATGTTTATTAAAGACCGCACCAAGTACTCATTTGAGGCTGACTCGACCTAGGGGAGGCCCAAGAACGGTTCGGATAATCGTCACCGGTGTTGGCCGTGAGCGGGGAATCGAACTCGGGACGCCGGATTCATAGCGCAGCGCGCTAACCGCTGCACCACCGCTCCCCAACAACTGACACACACACACGCACACACACACACGCGCACACACACACACGTGAGGCTTACGTGCCCAGCAGCAGCGGCAGCGCGAGTCCGCCGCAGCACCGTGCAGCACCAGCAGCAGCGCCACGCCTCTGTTCTAGCGCGCGCCTCTGCGGGCGCTTTAACTCTGCTGCACGGGAATGCGTCAACCGGGCATGCGTCACGGGCTACCGCTGCCTCACACAAAAGCCGTCGTGCCAGTGGCCTGCCTCTGCGTGTGTGTGTGTGCGTGCCCGTGCGTGTGTGTGCCCGTGCGTGTGTGTGCCCGTGTGTGTGTGTGTCTGTGTGCCCGTGTGTGTGTGTGCCCGTGCGTGTGCCCGTGTGCCCGTGTGTGTGTGTGTGTGCCGGTGTGTGTGTGTGCCCGTGTGTGTGTGCCCTTGTGTGTATGCCCGTGTGTGTGCCCGTGTGTGTGTGCCGGTGTGTGTGTGTGCCTGTGTGTCTGTGTGTGTGCCCGTGCGTGTGTGTGCCCGTGTGTGTGTGTCTGTGTGTGTGCCGGTGTGGGGAGCGATAGTGTAGCGGTTAGCGCGCTGCGCTATGAACCTGACGACCCGGGTTCGATGCCCGCTCACGGCCAACACCAGTGACGATTATCCGAACCGGTCTCAGGCCTCCCCTAGATCGACTCAGCCTCAAAAAAACATTGCCACTAGGGAGACAAAGGCGGCCGGGCGTGGTGTTGACCACCCACCCCCTCCTGTACCGTGTCGGCCTTCATAGGTGCTCGCTAACAGCACTTGCCCGAAAAGTCTGTTAAGGCTATAACGGAGCATATTTGTCTTTGTGTGAGTTGACTCAGCCTCAAATGAGCACCTGGTGCAATATCGCCACTGGGGAGACAAAGACGACCGGGCGTGGTGCTGACCACCCCCCCAGTGTAACTCCGAGGTGGTGGGGTGGCAGTGAAACAAACTTCCGGTGCTCAGCCCCGGACACCGTCTGCAATGAACCCCTCACCCTAGGACCAAATCACCCGCGAGGCGCCTTGCGGCTGCAAAGTATTGCGGTGGGTGTACACCAGGCCACAACCTCAAGGGTGACGTTGTGGCGTGGTGAAGTATGGTCAAATCCCCCCTCCGCCGCCCCGCTCCACACAGCCCGCATAGCATGGGGACGTTCTCATCCAGCAGTGGATTGGCATGCACGTCGTGAGACCATTTGCAGGGTTTCGCTCAACATATTTGGCAATTAAGGCTATAACGGAGCATATTGTATAGATTGTAGATTGTTGTACCGCGTGGGCAGTGGCGTAGTAACGACGTCATCAGTGGCGTAGTAACGACGTCACCAGTGGCGCAGTAACGACGTCACCAGTGGCGCAGTAACGACGTCACCAGTGGCGTAGTAACGACGTCCCCAGTGGCGTAGTAACGACGTCCCCAGTGGCGTAGTAACGACGTCATCAGTGGCGTAGTAACGACGTCATCAGTGGCGTAGTAACGACGTCATCAGTGGCGTAGTAACGACGTCATCAGTGGCGTAGTAACGACGTCATCAGTGGCGTAGTAACGACGTCATCAGTGGCGTAGTAACGACGTCACCAGTGGCGCAGTAACGACGTTACCAGTGGCGCAGTAACGACGTTACCAGTGGCGCAGTAATGACGTTACCAGTGGCGTAGTAACGACGTTACAAGTGCGTAGTAATAACGTTATCAGTGGCGCAGTAACGACGTCATCAGTGGCGTAGTAACGACGTCATCATAAGGGGGTCCGGCGATCGGTCAGGTGAAGCCCCAATATTTGATTTGTCTCTTCACGGTCGCACCTGGAGGCTCTTCTAAATCGCGGCTCCTCTTGCCCTCATCACAGCGTCGTTACCCTCACGGTCTCGAACATTTGACGCTGCAGGCGCCCTCCGTCTTCGCAAGATGCAGCCACTGCAGCTCAGTAGGAGTACCTCTTTGTAATATTGCGTGACCGCTATGATTGAATGAAAACGACTCGTGGAACGTAATAGAAAGCATTTTCATTCATCTAGATTTGGAGCTATCGTGACTGCAGGAATCCATACTCTTTGGTTCTTTCGGTAAAGTCACGTAGGTAGAAATAAAATTAAATCACGACGTTTCGAACGCCAAACAAGCGATTGCTGCGATGCCGTCTGCGAGCAGCACGTGCTGTGATTTATTTGATTTTATTTCTACCTACGTGACTTTACCGAAAGAACCAAACAGTATACATTTTCATGAAAACTAAATTTATTGAAACAGCGTTTTAAATACGTTTCTTGTTTACATCATGGGGCCTCCTTTGCCAGTACCAAAATATGATCATGGGTTTTTTCCACTTTTTTCTGGCAACAAAACAGGCGTTAAGATGTTTGGCGTTTTAACATCTTAACAGTTTAACATGTAGGCTTGTTTTGTTTGCCGGAAAAAAGGGGAAAACCCTATGATCAAGTTTGTTGTTATTTTACACTGTTGTTGAAAACGTCTCTCATGGCGGTTGTAAAAGGGGGGAGCCCCAAAACGTCACTTTGGCCACCGGGGGCGGTCCAAGGGGCACGACGAGAAGGGGAGAAGAGCCAAGGACGTGAGTGAGGCACTCGCAGCCTGGAAGTCCTTGCGACTTGGCTCTCCCTCCAGCCAGGCAACCAGCCAGGCAGCCAGCCAGGCAGCCAGCCACGCAGCCAGCGACCAAAACTTTTTTTTATATATATAGTATGGGGTAAGGGGGAGGGGTGATGTTGGGAGAGGTGAGGGGGTGAGGGGTGGTGAGGGGGGTGAGGGGCGGGGGGGGTGAGGGGGGGTGAGGGGGGGGGGTGAGGGGTGGTGAGGGGGGGGGTGAGGGGGGGTGACGGGGGGGGGGCGTGAGTTCAACGCGACGCACGAAGCCGGCTCGACGCTGTGAGATGGTGGCTGACGTCTTCACGCCCTCTACCGCAAAATAAAAACTTGGCAGGACCCTCTTGGAAAAAAAAAGAGTCTTGAGACTCGGCGAGCCTTTCCTAGGCTAACAAGCATAACGATGATAAATACCACAGCAATATAGGGGACAAACACGACAGGATTATTCTCCTGTGCCTCCAGTGGTAGTGCCTTACGCCGATCATCCCTCGTGCATGCCAGACAGCCTCGCATCGTTCCGGGAAATAAAATAAAATTAAAACATCGAGTGAGAAATCTTCAGCCCCTGGCTGCAACTTCATTCGATGGTCCCCTGCACGACCACGTGGCCGTCCCGTGCAACTTTTAAAAAAAGAATTCCCCGCACACTCGACGATGTTACACGGTGCAGCAGCAGCAGCAAGGGCTCGAGATGCTGAGAGGAGGGAACACCAACAAAGCGGGGAAGGCGGGAGGAGGAGGAGGATGAGGAGGAGGATGAGGAGGAGGAGGCATTGGCGGATGGGTTTTGGGAGCGTCTGCTGTCACTCAGCGAGCCCCTCTGAAAAGGGCGACGGGGCGCGCCTCTCGCCTCCCTTTGTCCCCGGCTCGTTCCGCCCGCGTGCCAAGCGCAGTTGACATTGTTCACACGGCATGGCAACCAACCACAAACAAATACAAAGACCCCCCCCATCCCCCCCCCCGTGTAGCCTTAACCAGACTGTTGGGGCGAGTGCTGGAACGGCAACACGAGGGGGTGGGTGGCAAACACCACGCCTGACCGCCTTTGTCTCCCCAGTGACGTTGTTTACTACACACCGCACCAGGTACTCATTTGAGGCTGAGTCGATCTAGGGGAGGCCCAGGACCGGTTCGGATAATCGTCACTGGGTGTTGGCCGTGAGTGGGAATCGATCCCGGTTCGCCGGGTTCGTAGCGCAGCGTAGCGCTAACCGCTACACTACCGCTCCCCCACGTGTATCTGTGTGTGTCACACAGAGACAAAAAAGACAAAGATCCCCCATATAGCCTGTAACAGACTGTAGGGGCAAGTGCTGTTAGCGAGCACCTATGAAGGCCAGAACGGTACACGAGGGGGTGGGTGGCCAGCACCACGCCCGACCGCCTTTGTCTCCCCAGTGGCAATGTTTACACACCGCACCAGGTACTCATTTGAGGCTGAGTCGACCTAGGGGAGGCCCGGGACCGGTTCAGATAATCGTCACTGGTGTTGGCCGTGAGCGGGAATCGAACCCGGGTCGCCAGGTTCATAGTGCAGCGCGCTAACCGCTACACTATCGCTCCCCACACACAGACACACAGACACACGCGCGGGGCGACCGATGCATCGCGAAACCAAGTCGGCCTTGCCATGATGATCGGCTGCCCTTGTTTTGCGCATCACGGCAGCTGTATGTTCAGAGATGTCGAGGTCTCCTGGTCACGGCGAGAGGGTTTCAGGAGAGAGTTCGCGAGCGTGGTTCCCTTCCTCCTCCTCTGGCGGAGCGCAGCCTGCAGCGGTGGGCTTACGACGCGACCCGGGGTTTGGGTTGCACGGAGAAGTCCTCCGTCAAAGGCTTAACGCCCGCCGGATTAGAGTCCCGTGGCGATGGTCGTCTGTGTTGACAGCGCGGATACAGACCGCGGAAATTCCACATTGTTCCGGGCGGAGGGTTAGTCCCTCTGTATGACAAACGGTGGTTGGCATAGGCCCGGTTGCAAGCAATCTACAATTGGGTCCCCAAGTCCGCAATTCTCCCCTCTCTGGCTTGGCGTCGGGAAACGAACTCAGGTCGTCGGTTTCATGGCGCAGGGGACAAGTTTGTAAAAGGCGCTTTGGGGTAAAGCCAGAGAGAGATGCTCGCTTCCTCGCCTGGTATACAGGAGGACGTGGGTTCGAGCCCGACCCTGACGCCTGTTGTGTATTTGGAGTTTGCACGTCTTTCTCTCTCCCCGTGGTCGCGTGGATTTTTCCCCGTGTCTTCCGGCTTTTCCCTCCACGTGTAAAAAAAACACGCGTTTAGAGTGTTTGGCTGATAAACATTTCCACGTGATGATAGGCCACTTCGTTGAGCTATCATTTGTGGCCAGGTCGCTTCTGAAAAAAGACTATAAAGGTCAACGGGCCGTACCCGGTAAAAGAAAAAAGTTTAGTTTAGCGTGGGATTAGTGCTTCCCACTACGATGGCTGCTCACAAACATCACTTACTTAGCTCAAGTGGCTTCGCGTAGAGAGCAACGAACTTTAGAGACACCACAAACGCGATGTGGCACCAACGTCAAAAACAACAATTGCACATTAATAAACAGACGAAAGCCACCGCCACTTCACACCAAATATCACTTTAAACCCTTCAGTCCGCGGGCACTCCGGGCCAATGTTATCCAACAGCATCATTGGTTCAGCACACACTCGGGCCGGGTTTCAACTTTCTCAGTCCCATCGACAGTTAAGCCTGTTAAAACAAACACGTTGCGCACCTCTCATTCCGTGTGGGAGTGCTGCAGATGATTTTTGTTATAATTGAACGAATTAAAATCGCTTCTTTTAGCCACGCAACGGCGTTGGTTGCAAGTCGACGACTGCGTCCTCCTCAAACCATTTCGGCAAACACAGCAACGTTTTATCTTCCGAGGCAGACTTTTAAACGTTTATTCAATGATCCATTATGTCACGTTACGGAGTTTCGTACAATTCTACGTGAAGCTCTTGAAAAGCACAAGGGGCATACAGCTTTAAAAGTGCAAAGACAAAGATCCCCCCTGCAGCCGTAGAAGATTGTTGGGACAAGTGCTGATCGTGAGCACCAATTATGACCGGTACGGAAATGGACACACTGCAAAGGCAACTCATTTGTGGCCGAGTTGACCTAGGCAAGGATCAGCATCAGCTCAGATAGTCTCTACTCATGTTAAGCTAGACGTAACCTGGAATTGAACTCGGGACATCGGTGCGCTAACCACTATGCTACCCGCTGTCTTCGTGTCACGCCTGTACGAAAACAAAACAAAGATCCCCCGTATAACCTTAACAAGACTGCTGGGGAAAGTGCTGTTAGCGAGCACTTATAAAGGCCGGCACGGCACACGAGGTGGGTGGCCAGCATCACGCACAACCGCCTTTGTCTCCCCAGTGGCGATGTTTACACACCGCACCAGGTACTCGTTAAGGCTGAGTCGACCTAGGGGAGGTCCAGGACCGGTTCAAAAAAACGTGACTGGTGTTGGCCCTGAGCGGGAATCGAACTCGGGTGGCCGGGTTCGTGTTGCGGCAAGCTAGCCGTGACGCCACCGCTTGTACAATACACACACACACTCAACTCGAGCGCTCACAAAATAGTGCAGTATAACCTTACAGCTCACAAAGACACACACGAAGTACTATTTACTCTCTCCGTATCAGGTTTGCGAGCTCGAGAGATTGCACTATTCAAAATTGTTTTTACTACACGCAACTCCTGACAAGGCAGAGGCTAATTGAGACGCACCGAACATTCTGCCTCGTGTCGTACACGCCTGAACATACGACAACCTTCACAGACGCATTGTCGTACACAAGTGCTCCGCAAACTCCGTTTTGCTATTGTTGGCAACATTAAAATTTCACTGAAATAGAGACAATGCTTGGAAACTATTGGTGGAGTTGACTTTGCTTCAATTGGGGGTTTTCCCAGTCATCAGCCGGACAACCCATGCATCCGAACCTTACAGTTACATGGCAGAAAACACGCTGGCAGCTCTCCAAAGTGGTTTTGGGGTTGTACCGCGTGTTGTTTTTGAGTGACATTCGACGCGTCGTTATACGTGCCGGCAGTAAGTTGGAGGCGCGTTTATCAGTTCCTGAAGTACCTCCCAGGATGTGAAGCGAAACGTCGGACATCGTACCGAGCAACGCGCGGTTGAGCCACAAAACAAACCGGCGGGGCTATTGTTTAGTATCACAGCCACCACGAAAAGCAGAGGCAGTAGCATTTTTTAAGTTGTGCGTATACAACTCAGCGGACTGTACAACTGAAACAACAACCAACAATAAAAACACACCCCCAGGCCAGATGCTTAAAATTATTTATTTTGCTAATGGATAGTTTACAAGAACGTGCAACGAAGGTGAATTATGGCATGTTGCTGGCCCGGCTTGAACAACAACAACCCTCGGCTCGTTAAAAAGTAACAATGGCACAAATGGCCGAGTGTAACTGACCACGAGTAGCAAACAACACAAACCTAACCAGGCACTCGTTAAAACATTGGCATTCCCAACACAGCCGTCCACTAGCGGGAAGTAACGATAGGGGAGGAAAAATGAAATAAATAAATCGAATGCGACATTGCAGAGGTGGTAAAGTCAAGCACCAGCAGATAAATGGAATTTTTACTGTAAAGTGTATAAAGCGTATATCGGTATGGCATTTTCCCTATAACCTTTAACCGACTGTTCGGGTAAGGGCTGTTTAGAGAGCACCTATGAAAGCCGGCACGGCACAGGAGGGTGTGGGTGGCCAGCACCATGCCCGGCCGCCTTTGTCTCCCCAGTGGCGATATTTTACACACCGCAGCAGGTACTCAATTTAGGCCGAGTCGACCTAGTGGAGGCTCAGGACCGGTTCAGATAATCGTCACTGGTGTTGGCGTTGAGCAGGAATCACTCTGGCCGCTGGGTTCGTAGCGCAGCGCGCTAACCGCTCCACTACCGCTCCACACACACACAGCCAGACAGACGAACGCGCGCGCGTCTGTGATCTCTTGGTCCGGCGCCTGTTGAAGAATAACATTGAGGGTGAAGATTAAACATCCTTTGACACAACACACCACTTGACAACCGCTGCAGGGATTCGGGATTTTTTTGTGGAAGATTTGTACCAACGGTTGGCAACGGAGGGCCCCCCCCCCCCCCCGACGGATTATCAGCAACAAAATCTTCGCGAAACGAGTGTGGGTGCGCATTTGTGGACACGGGCGGACCGGGCGGCCCTGAACTTGACCGCAGTCTTTAAGGGCTCAGCAGCAACTCTCTGGGGCCTCGCGAGAGGTGAGCGGAGGAGGCGGATACCACGGGGAAACTGGAGTTGTTGTTTTTTTTTGCAGAGGCACGTTAGAACGCGTCTCCGTTGGCAATATTATGGCGAAAAAAGGATGGAAGAATAATTTGTTTTCTGCTCGAGCGCGAACGGACATATGGAACCCCCAAAAAATAAATATAAAAAAATGCACGGCAAGCGAAGTAAAAACATCAATGCAAGGTTGATCATTATCGCTTTAACTGAAAATGCAGCATCAACTTGTGATTATTACGGCAACGACTTAGCTTGGTGAATCATTGTAATAAAATAAACCGAAATAAAATCAAATAATCCATTCAGGCCTCAACTCTGCCCATGACTATATTCACTTCCAGCACTTCACACTACACAAAGCTTACATTGAACATAAAGTAATAGCAAAACCGTAGGTAAATAATCAGAGTTCCATTGAAGGTAAACTATCCTTAATTATCACTCAAATTTAACAAAGGCTCACATGTGGACAGCTACTGTAATTTCTGGATTGAAAGACGCTCCTAAAAGTATACAACTCACTCCAAACTTGTGTCCTGTGTCAAATAAAATTATACAAATCACGTCTTTCTCACCCCCCACCCTCTACCGGATTATAAGCCGCACCCGAAATTTTGCTTTAAAATGGGGGGGGGTTGATAATCCAAAGAACAAGGTCCTTGTTAGCTTTCAAATATTAAATTAAACCACAATGTAAACTATACACTGTTTTTATACAAAGTTGTCAAATACGCAATTCTCTACTCCTGCCCAGGTTGAACATCCCACGTCAAGAGCATAACTGCCTTTTGCATTATTTATGCCACTGGGTCTCACCACAAATGCGCGTTCCAACTCGGGGTGCACTTCCAAACAGGCGTGGACTTACACGCCACATGTCAAGCTGTGCGGCTGCCTCCGTGAATCCCGGACATACACGCACACCGCCTTCTCGGCCGTGCCGCATATTGTTCCCGTGTGCGCCCGTTCTGGTTGCGGCGCCGGTGTTCTTCTTTCCTGAAGAAGCTCCCGGCAAGCGAAGCGAAACGTCCGGTCAATCGTCGTGCGCAGCACACCCACCGGGTTGCAAAAAACCCTGATCGATGCAAGCACAACGACGCGGCATCGCGGCACGCTGAATTTCTTTAAGCAGGTGCGGTGCTCGACATCCTCGGGCGTTCCCAAGACTAAAGCGGCAATCGTCACGTGATCACACACAAAAAAACGGTGGGTGAAGATCGAGTACGAAGCGGCCCGCCTTCGGTGGTGCACAATAAACGGTAACGTGTGAGAGACATTTTCACTTTCAAAACAATACAACTGCGACAGCGAGCTGTGGACGCGCACTCCCGGAATGTTATTCTCGTATACGTTTATGGCTGGACAAGCTGCACCCGGGCTCGGCAACGTCACCACCGAAACGCTCCTGGAACTTTCCACGAGCATTCCGTTCCAACAGCGCCATTGGTCCCGCGTGACGAAGCGAAGCATCCGTCCGCATCTCCCGCACGGCCTTTCTTTCGTGTCAGCGAACGGCCCACGGAAGCGGATACCACAAAACTACCCCCCCCCGACCCCGCCGCCGCCCCCGCCCCCTGGGGGAATCCGGCCAAGTGATCGGGTCCGCACGGTAGGTGCACACCAAATTGCCACCAGCACTGCCACGCGAGATGAACGCTCGGCGACGCTGGATTTGTAGCCAAATTAAGCGCATGCAGGAACCACATTGGAATGCGTCGGGTTTTGTTTTGGTGCATGCAGTCATCGGTGGCCGGTGCGAGGCAGATGGTGAATATTTAGGGGTCAATACCCCGACAGCATTACACCGGCCACTTGCCTCAGCAGCACAGCAAGCAGACCGCAATAGGAAGGAAGCGAGTTCAAATCCAGGCTGGAAGTTTACTTGGTTCGATGAAATGTGCACATTTTTTTTTGGAAGGTGGTTCGACTCCGGATTTAATCGCCTTCGCCATAGGAATGTGGAATGTCCAATTTTTCTCATGGCTGTAAACGGGAGACTGGCACTGCCTTGATGCTCATTTGAGAAATCACTTTTTTTTGTAATAACCAGAGAGGCCACCGGGCTTGAAGCAACAATCGACGTACTGCTTGGCCCGGTCTCCACCCAGTCCGGGACTAACGAGTTGCTGCTGGTTTCCACGACTGAATGAAAGACTCCGGGGAGGTCTGCTGCGCCGTGGAGGTCAGCGACCATTATTGAAAAATAAATTATCATTCCCCACATTCCATATTCTCGATAACGGTGCGAATTAAGAATGTGGCAGGCAAGGGGATAATGGGGACCACCTGCAGCCTTCGGCTAACGTGGCATGCTCTTTTCTCGAATGGGCACTCCTAAACACGTGCTGTCAGCAGTGCATAGCGCACGCGAAAGTTGGCATGCGAGTGTGTAAACACCGCTGAACGTAAAATATTTGGCAAGAACGCCTGCGGTTGAATGAAGTAGTCCTATTCATTTATTGAACGTAAACAATTGGTCGAGCAGATAAAACCCGCACGCAACTGGATAGTGCCCAGCGGTCCGCTGTTGGCAAGACTAATGCCGCACGTGCCGTATTCCGAGTATTTGCCCGATCTCTTGTGCAAGGTGCTCGTTGGGATTGCCCGAGCGCGAGAGGTGGCCGCGGTTTGGGGAGGCCTTCGTGCATCAGGGATTGACCATGGCTGATGATGACGATGAAGACCACTCGGCTGCTCGCTCTAGATGGCTGCGTCTAGGGCACTGGATCACTGCGCGTGCTTGAGCTGTAGTGCTTAGCAATGCTCGCGAGATGAAGTCAGTACTAAACTAAACTATTGTTATTTTACCATGGGGAGAACAAGCAAACTCCAAATATACAGCAGGCACCAGGGTCGGGATTGAATCCACGACCTCCTGCATACCAGGTGAGGGAGTTAACACCTCGCCACAGTGGCGCCCCTTAGTGATCTTTCAATGAGGCGTAAATTACTTATTTCCAACATGAGGCATTTACAAAATAACACTTTACAAACTACCGCACTTTAAGAACGACGTGATTTTGGCATCAACGTACAAAGAACACCATAATGCAACAGAAATAATTATGGTGAAAATAACAATTTAAGTAGTTAAAATAGAGATAAACTCCGCTAAGTGTGTGTGAATGTGAAAGCAAATAAGCAGTTACCATTGAGAGGACTGCAACGAACAGTTCCTTGGTAAGCTAATCAGCGCAAAGAAATTTCTCACGTGATACTAAACTACTGGATGGCCAAACCCAAAACTCTTCGGCATGTAATAATATTGTCTCATCGATTACAATTAATTCACAGGCTCAATATGCACCCATCCAATCACATGTGAGAATCAGATATAGCATTTACACTTGATGCAAATTATACGCAAATTATCGACTTACGTTATACACTCCTGCGTCGGTGTTTGTGGTTGTGGTGTACAGCGTTCCGATGTCCCGGGTTGTGCTGCCGATTGTTACACGAATATTCTCCCCCGCAGAAGAAATTACCCCAGAAGAGGTTACCGCAGCCTTTGAAAGCAAAGCTCCTCTCGTGTATTCATAGCTGGTGAATGGACACACTCGCATCGATGAGCTCAATATATCTTTAAAATTATTCAAAATGCATCGCAGCACGTTATTAAAATACCTTTCTAAAAATATTGTGCACATAGAAATATAAATAGCGCTGAAAAGGGCCTTCATGAAAAATATCCCGTAAAAATAAAACCACTCTGCTTTTTGTATTTTTTGGATTCCCCGTTACAAAAAGAAGGCAACGTATCCTAAATACTTCTATTTGATGTTTTTACACCGTTTTTTTTATTTTTACACATTTTATCCCGACTGTGCAACCGCCATTGTGTCGTGAGACAAAGTATCCAAACGATCTCTCGCACAGCAGTGCAACCCTTCGTGTTAGAGAACGGCCCACAGAAGCGGACATCAGAGAGCTACCGCTGAGATCCCTTTAAGTGACCTCTGGTGTATGCGGAAGCGGGAACCAATTTTTTCACCCACTCTTGCCAATTTGAGTGATGCTCATCGCGTGACAGTTAGAGCGATATTTTTTTATTATCAGAGCCGATATTTAGCCAAATTCTGTGCAAAATCTAATTTAATGCGAAGTTTTGTGCAGTTTTCGGTGACCAGGCTGAGACCATTAACTCACTGTACACGTGAACCTAGATTCAAACCCAGAATATTAGCATTGCTGGCTCAGTGCTTAAATGCTCTGATCCACCCAGCCACCTCAACTTTTTTTGTAACTTTTAAATGTGTGCTTTTTCAGTGAACATTTTAAAATGTGTGCCTTTCTGTACAGTCACAAAAACAACATTCACGTATAAATGTCTAATAATGTGTGTATAGAATCAATCATGATTACCTAAAGGCGCAACGTCATTAAAGGCCACTTTCAGACAGCACGCATCGGCGCACACGCGCTACGAAAAGCAAAGCTGTACTAAACACCACTCTCAGTGAGAAGAATCAACCTCACTCACTCGTCGAGCCCTGCAGAGCCTGGGCCTTCTGAGTGTATGTGCTGCATGCAGCTCAACATAGCTCACACTGCAGCATAAGCCGATAAACACAACCGTTATTAAGGCTACAGAACACTGAGCTTCATTGGCGTCTGAAAGCAAGTTTTCCTTGAAGCAGTTAGCAGATGTCCAAATCAGGATTTGGACGTATTGGCGGTACACCGGTGCAGCATAACACACCAGTCTAAAATCTAAATTTGAATGGACATTCGTCTTCCAACTGCTTCGACATCACGAGAACTGATGTTGACGCACCACCCCAGGCAAGACTTTCTGATCGTGGCTGCGAATCGCTGGAAAATAAATAAGTATTGCCCAAAATTTTAATTTTTTTACACTATGTTTTTACGTGCAGCAGGAAAAACGTACGCGGGTTAAAGACACCATTAAGACTTTTAAGGAAACGGCCTCCCCCCCCAAAAGACAGGTCATGGCTGGAAAGTAATGGCAGCCGACGGTCAACAGTAACGACAGGGTGCCAGTACGTTCACCCGGGGAGATGGAGCGACGAGATCGGCTCGTGCGTAGGATTGGAAAGAGGTGGCGTGACAACTTGGGGAGGCCTTCACTCGGCAGTGGATTGATCATGGCTGCTGATGATGCCACCGTGGGAGGGTACAATCCGTGAGCTTTGCGGGGGGGTGGTGGTGGAGGGAATGTTTGACGGCCACTTGACTGCGGTTAAGCCAAGCAGGACGTGAAGCATTTCTTCACCATGTCCCTGTTGGAGGATACACACGGGGGGCACGGGACGAGGGGTGACAGAGGGAGGGGAACAGGTATGGGGGGGAACACAGGCAAGAGCGGTGTGCGCACGGGGGAATGGGAGAGGGGTGAATGGGAGAGAGTGGTGACAGTGGGAGACAGAGGAACAGAGAGGGGGGGGGGGGTGACGAAACAATAAACATTCGCTGAAATTGCTCCGATGAAGAATGGCAGTTGCAGCTCCGATTAGCGCGGGTGGCTAAGTACGATGCGAAAGAAGTTCAACACACATACCTACAGAACCCCATCGATTTTTTTTTATATTGAGGGCAGTGTTGAGTTTGTCTTCAACTAACCTTGTCTTTTCTATCACAAGACATCGTATTTATGCTTGCTGGTGAACACCGCTGTCCAGGGCTTAATTTCAGCCGGACCTGTCTGGGTCAGTGACGCGGCATAAATGTCCACACCAGGCACACCACATCCAGTACACCTCCCCGCAAAAGCAGCTGTGGCTCCGAGTTTACGTGCCGCTTACTCCGGGTCAGCCAGCGAGCCCCCATAAAATATTCAGCGAGGAATCAAACTGCGCTGCTGTGTGTTTAAGGGGGGGGGGGACCAGTGTCGATGTGAAAGAAGTGAATGCAGGCGCTTACCGTGCGTAGGGGATGTACGAGAGGCTGTACCTGTTGGCAAAGGACCATAAAGACACTCCCATTAGACTCGGCTGTGCTGCCGTCGCTGATGAAGAGCCAGGTACACTGGCATTATCATAGCAACAATGACTTGCAGAAATACCTTTACCACGCTTGTCATACTAACTCCATTTGTAGGCTTTCACGATCAAGACTGCGATTCGTAATTGGTTTATATTAGGCCAGATCGTTCGTGTATCACGCCAATTGGAGCTGTAAGCGTCTACCACCCAACACAGCCAAACAAAGTTGTCACGTGGCAGAATGTGCGGAAAAGCAACAGCGTACAGAATTATCTAAATGTTTCCTTTCTTTTCAACATAATTCGTTTTTTTCTGAAATACAAAATCAACTGGGACATTTGCCCGCGGGACAACTTGACTTGTTTGGCGGTGTCAGGTGGTAGACGTTTATGGCTCTAGACATTATAACGACACGATTGAGCAGAAATGTTTAACTTGCTAGAACAATAACATTTAACAGACGAAGTGAACACTGTAGATATGTGCACCCTTGAGATGCGTTCCCAATTTTTTGATTATTCCCAAAAAACTGAAAATCAGGCCAATCCGATTTTTGTGCCATTTTTCATGCCGGATGAAGACATTTTACATTGGTACAGAATAGATGGGGGTCTGAAAATCCGAAAAAGTCCAAATTGTCCTTAAAATAAATTTTTAAATACAATATTGGGGAATTGTTGTAATCTGAAAGTCATCCCGAATGTATACGCAAAAGTGTCCACGAAAAACAACACTGGTAGTCTTATATGCACTCGGCACGTTTGTCCATACTTCACGCTGATCAGTTTGGGTCAACCCATACTGCTCAACTGGGTCCTGGGGTACCCGCTTCAACACAACTTGTCAACCCACACTTCGGCTATCACCACTGCCGTTAACCGCGGCCGGGAATTTGAACTCAGGTCGCCAGGTTCACAACAGAGCATGCTAACCACCACCACTGCCTTTGCAGACGCTGGTGGCAGAGCCCACGGGCAGATATCTTCATTACCAGGTCAAGGAGAGGAACTGCAGGACACAGAATAGCAGTGCGAGAGGCTTGTTCTTCCACTGCAGACAGACAAAAACGACACAAGTGAGAAGGCGGCCACGTGGAGAGACCCACGTGCCAGACAAGAAACCCACATCGGCAGCAGCTCAACAGACAACGCAGACAGCACAATTAGTGACGAGTTATAGTCACCCACCCCCGATCCTTCATCAGCCAGCCAGCTCGCCTTAGCCACTTGTGAAACAATTACTCAATGGACAATGTGGACGTTGGTCACCTTTAACCACGCCCACGTGACGCGTATAAGAAATGGCTTTGAAGCGGCTTGAATGTGCATCAATGCGGTTCATAAACATACGCAAGCCAAAACTTAATGCGCGTAGGCACGTACGCGTGCATAAGGCACGTAACGATTGAGCTTTGAGGCTCAACCCTGCTTAGAATCCGAGATCGGATGCATTCTAGGAGATTTGGTCACTGGCAAGTGTTGACACAGCAAGCGCCAAGGCAGCCGAACGGTATTTAAGACAGATGAAAGCAGTGCCCCACATTGGCCACGGCACTGTGGGGTGCCCACCACATCAAGGCTTAGTCCCCCATCGCACTTACCCAGAAGGCAGAGCAGAGCGTGCACACCAGACAGCACTGCACACACACACACACAAAGCCAAATATAATCATACACAGACAAAGATCCCCCGTATCGCCTTAACAGACTGTTCGGGGCAAGTGGTGTTAGCGAGCACCTATTAAGGCTGGAATGGGCAAACGATGGCGTTGCATGGCCAACATCAAGCCCGACCAATGTTGTCTCTCCAGTGCTGAAAACATCACGCGATATTAGGTACTCATTTGAAACCCAACCGACCCAGCGGAGGGTCAGCACATGTAGCACCGATGTTGTCCATGGCTGGGAAATTGCAAAGCACTGCACAAACCACTCCACCGCTCCACCCACATAAACACACACGGAGATTAAACATCAATAGGACGATGAGAGACACTCCGGGTTGGCCCAATTGTGGTTAAGGTGATGTGGCATAAATCAAACATTTAGGCGATATGGAATCTCAAGACGCAATAATCCTTCAGTGGGAAACCCTAAATGAAAGGAACAACACAATGACGATTGCAGAGTGGGCCATGGTGTGCCAGCATCATGGTCAAAATTTTATACATTTCTAAAATGTACCCGCAAATGACTCAACTGCGGAAAACACATAGCAATGTCGCGCCCCTCCTGCGAAACGACTGCAGACTCCGTCTGTACAACACAGAAGAGCCTTCATGATGGGTCTTGCACTATAACAAGGGTCGGCAACCAAAATAACAAGAGGCACTTTTTTCAAATTCGGTAGAAAACTCAATATTTGAAAAGCCCCAGTGCATGTGAATACATAAACACGTCACGTCACGATGCAGTCCGTCAAGAGCCGCGCGAGGCTCCGGAGCCGCCGGTTGCTGACCTCTGCGCGATAAGAATGGCGGAAATACCAAACGTGATAGGATTTGATGATGATGACTATGACGATGGCGGCAAGAGTGCCCTCACCAGCATGACGCTGGTGGCGATGGCCCGCGTCGGATTGAACATTCGCTTCATCTGCTTCAGAGGGCCCATCAGGAAGCAGGTGCTGTGGGGGGGAACATAGGCACCAGCCAAGGTCACACAGGCAAGCGAGCGAGCACGCAAACGCGCGCAACACGCGTGTATGTACGCTTAACTTCTTTCGTACAGTACAAAGCCAACGGTGCTAATTGGAGGTGCGGGGGAAGGACAAACTAAACACAAAAAGCAAGTTCTAAAGAAATTAGTTTTCAACCAGATTTAAATGTGCATAGCTCCAGTGGCTTCCTAATACCGAATATCGGAAGGAACGGCGTTCCAGACGGGTTCATAGTGAAGCACACGGGGGCCTCTGAATTAACATTTCGCAAAACTCCATTCACATTTATTAATCTGGGTCAAATAGCTAAATTTTGCATCATTTTACTCAGAGCAACGGCAGGGAACCCTGAATGGGACGTCCAAGTACATTGGCAGGCAATCGCACATTAGTCAACACTTAACTCAGATCACACTAGAGCTGTATACATGGACTGTGTGATCAGAATTGAATGGCAATAAATTAGAAACACAACGCTGCCAGACGAAAAATATTCTCGAGTACCCAACTAGCACTGCTCGGACGCTCAAAGTGACGGATATAGTTTGCAAGACGTTTCAAAGTGGTAGGCTTCATGTGGCTACCACGGAGCATATAAAATTATGTAGTGAACCGATTGCATGTATGTTGAACTTCTTTCATACCTCCGATTAGCACTGTTGGCTACGTACCGTGCAAACGAAGTTCAACGTACATATATACACCATACGTAGCCAACTGCGCTAATCAGAGGTGTGGGGGAAGGACAACAAACTAAACACAAAAAGCAGGCCCTAGGCTTCTGGCGTAGGGGCTGTATGTTGCCCACTCCTGACTCAAGGCCAAGGCAGCTGTGATGTGACCTTACCTGCAGAGAGCACAGATGTTCCCCAGCGAGTAAAACACAGCAAAGAGGATGAGCCCATTCTTCAACCACAGGAACACAGTGCCCTGTCCCAGAGCAATGTGGGAAAGGAGAGCCATGTATTAAAGATCAAGCAATGGCAAGCACGCTCAGAACATTACTTCATTTCAGAGTTGAATAGTTTCACAAACAAAGGCTTTATTTTTTTTTTAAATGTCTGTATTTCTCTGCTCAAGGGCAGCCTCTTTGGCTTCAACTCCCTCCATCCTGTCCGGTCTTGCGTTCTCCTCTTCCTTTCACTGCATGCCCCCCCCCCCCCACCTTCCTTAAAAGTTGTCAAGCAGTCATTTTTGATGGCTCAAAAAATATAAGGCTTTATTAGCAAACATTTATTAAATAGATGATCTGTTGGACCAGTAATAAGATGGTTGACTCAGATGGCAGGGATGTGACGTAAGAAAATATAGCGGACATTGGAGGAAAGGTTAGGAGCAAGGAAGCACCAGGGCAAAGCACCGGGGGGCAGGCCGAGGAAGAGGCGTTTCGAAGAGGTGGGCCAGGGATTTAAACTGACTGAGGAGTGGATGTGCAGATGGCCCAGGAGAAACATACGGGTGGAGAAAGAGGACCAAGAAGGCAGGTCAAGTGTGGCCCAATAACTACGCAAAAATAAAATCATGTAAAATCTGGTTCTGCAAATTAGTGTAGCTAAATTCTACGTGTGACACTTAACTATACCCTTTTGATTGTCACGTGATGAACATTACTTCCTGTGGTAGGGAGGGTGGGGAAGTCCTTATCCATGCTGTGTAGACCAGAGGTAATTTGAAGAGAACTCAGATGTAGCTCTTTTGTATCCTCTTCCGTGGGCCATTCTCGACCATGAAAGGAGTGCACGCTTATGCGAGACATCTAATTGGATGCATCTATGACACGGTATCACTAGCACAATCAAATAAAGTTGGGGAATAAGCAGGGGCGAAGCCACTGGGGGGGGGTTGGGGGGGACTCAGCCCCCCCTGAAATTCAGGGAAAGTCGGTAATCGGGATAACCGGATATCCGGCTGCTGCAAAATGCTGCAGGCTGCCACCATGTGCTGCCCTGCAGGCTGCTTGAGCGGCAGCCTTTCGAACTTATTAGCCACATCAGCGGCTCCGACCTATTAATAAACTCCGCGTTCAAATCCAATAAAAAAATATATACATTTGTGGCGCCCATTGAAAAACATATACTGGATATATCCGAATATTGCAGTCAGCCCCCCCAAAGTCAAAATCCTGGTTCCGCCCCTGGGAATAAGACAAAATAAAAGCCTGCCACAAGCATGAAAAAAAGGGTAAACCCTTTTTAAAAATGGGTCTCTGCCCAATGATCAAATTTGGGACCAATACCGTGGTGACACCTGGTGGCAGAAAGCAGCTTAAACAGAATAACTCGATGACAATTCTCCCATCAGAACGGCGTTGACGTTCACGATATGTGCATCAAATTGGGCGAGTTAAAAAACCAATTGTTCATGAAAACAATTTTATAACATGATACTTTCAGGCTGATTCAGTGAATGAGACAGAACTTGCAGGAATTACAATAAAAACCAGACATAAGTAATGAGCCATACAATACAAAAGAGATCTTGACTGAAAGCTTTCGTGACTACAGGAATTAATATTCTTTGTATCTTTCGGTAAAGTCACGTAGATAGGTTCAAAGAAAATAACAAAAAACTACGACTTCTTTGGTTCTTTCGGTAAAGTCACGTAGAATGAGAATAAAATAATAAATTGATAAAATAAAATAACACAATAATATTCTCACGACGTTTCGGCCACAACACAAGCTGCCTTCATCAGGTGAAGGGACGAGACTGTCTGGAGGACAGCGCTGTCTCATCCCTTCACCTGATGAAGGCCGCTTGTGTTGTGGCCGAAACATCGTGAGAATATTATTGTGTTATTTTATTTTATCAATGTATTATTTTATTCTCATTCTACGTGACTTTACCGAAAGAACCAAAGAAGATTAATCCTTGCAGTCACGAAAGCTTTAAATCGAAAAAAAACTACGACGTTTCGATCGAAACACAAAGACCCAAAGAAAAGAGACGGAACAACAAAATAATACATTCTTAAATCGTCATCCTTGTGACAATTCGGCCAATTGCAGGAGGGGTGAATGTTAAATGCAAGCGCACACACATACACGTGTATACAAACGTGTATGTGTGTGCGCATACCTGTGAATTGTTTACAGACTTATCTCTCGGAGAGACACTTGCAAATCTGGCCAAGTGTACAGCCTTACATGATACGACTAAATACCACAACATGACGATCATCGCTATATCAGTTTCACTGAACTTTGTAATTAGATTTCACAAGTTTAATGCACCCTTATTATGTTCTAATGTTCTTCCAGTACGAATAAAAATTACTTAAACTTTCTTCAACTGCAGTTCACTCAACTTAATCCTGCCATAAATCTTCTAATAATTATGTTATGATCTATAATACGAATGATGCACATCCTGTTCGTTAAACAAGGCATTACTAAATACATTCTATATGAAATGCAGAAGTGATGTCATATAACCATTATGCAGTCAGTTACTCCATAAAACATATGAAAACGCACTAATTTAATGGGTAAATAGCTATATTTTTCCAACCTTAATGAGTATTGCGACCTTTAATTGCTGTTGTTTCGTCAATATTTGGCCGCAAAATGAAATATTCAACAACAAAAATGAGATGATCGCGAATATTATATTCTAGGACGCGTCATACAATCGCCATAACATTTTCCAACGTTTAAGAACTCATGTGCATGCAAGACCATGAGCTCATTTGTTTTGGCCAGGCATTGCATGACGTGGCTTCCAAAAGCAAAGCTACCATGAACCAGTAAAAAAAAGCCAGTTTTTCGTAAACCGTCCGATTTTGCCGCCGTCAGTTTAAACCAGCTTGTGGCAGCCTGGTCAAACCCAGCCACACGATGAGCAGTTAACCCGTCTCATCGCCACCACCGCGCCCGGCAGAAGCGTGGTCGCCGCATCTACGCCTCTATATAAGGAACGAAACAGGTGGACTTCTCCACAGATCTGTCTGTCGCCTGATGAAGCCAGTTGTAATTTGTGGCGAAACGTCGTACCTCAGATTGTAAATCCTGTGGCTTGGCTCTCCAACACACACCGGCGTTGCTGCACTAGTATCGAATTGGCCACGTTCCGTTTACGTGACAACCCTTACTAGTTGGCCGTTTCGGCTGGTGGCGGGTTTAACGGCACATTTATATATTTACGTGATCTAACCCAAAAGAAACCTCTACTATGGTCGCGGTAGGATGCGCGTGTCGCCACAGGTGTGCGAGTGCCATGTGAACGAAGATGCAGCTGCTTCTCTCACCAGGATGGAGCACAGGATTCCGAAGATGAAGCACGCGACGAAACACTTCAAGCGTGTCCCCCAACTCATCGTGGATCCTTCCACGATCTGGGCGTAGGGGGTCGGCGGGCGTCGCACGGGGCAACAACATCACGGGGGCACGGTTACAAAGGAGATGAGCACGACGCCGTTTTCATTATGCTCGTGGTGTATTCATTCACACGGGGCAATAAGGTCCTTTGCCAAATCCTAAGATCGCATGAATGCACAGGGGCCAGTGAATGTTTGGCTTACCAACATCGAGCATAATAAGAATAACAGTTTAAAATTTGAACGTATCACACAGTATCTGCTCGCTCGCGGACAGAGACAAGCATGAAGGCAGCAACAATTGCCAGCGCTCTGGAGTCCTCTACCTATTGAGGTGTCACCGGCCAATTAATGCGTGGCGTGGGAGGCAACCAGAGCACCCGGAGCAAACGCATGTCAGGGAGAAACACTCAAATTGATTCAGATCGAACAGGTGGAAACCACATTGTTGCTGTACGGCATTCTCCTGGCCAGCCAGGGTATGACACTTCGACGCCAAAGGGAGGGAAGCTTCGCAACGTTTGAGTGATCCACCAACCCTTGCCTCCAATGCTGGATTACAAGCGTGCACCACCTCCATCCAGCTAAAATGAATTATCAACGGGTTTTTTTTATTTCACTCTTTCAGTATCATGGAGCAATTAGGCTTCATGCCAAACAGGAAGATGGGCTGAATTTACAGGTGAGGAGATGTTAAGCCCACTCGCAGCATGCCGCCCATAACTTATTAAGTAAAGTGAGGGCTATTGTTTAAAAGAACACAAGAAAAATAACGAAAAGGGGCAGGCAGGCATGGGGGTTATAAAGATCCTGTTAAGGAGGATTTGAGAGATGCTGCTCAGCTCTATAGCGGTTACAGCCATCTCTGACAATCCCCAAACAAGGATCTTTGAATGATGACGATGATGATGAAAACATAACCTAATGCCAGACGTGAATTCATGACAAGAACTGTAGTCATGGATGGCCCTTCCTCGGTGCTTACAAGTTGTGCAATTCCTCTTCACAGTTTGCATGTTTAAAAAAACAGGTAAAAATGCCACCCTGCAATACCTTACTCACTCCACTACTAGCAGAAGGACCTCCACTCACTAGAGCAGGGGTCGGGAACCTATGGCTCGCGAGCCAGATGTGGCTCTTTTGATGATTGCATATGGCTCGCAGATAAAACAAAATATTCTCACTTGTTTTAATCCATCCATCAATTTTTCACTGCGCATGTCCTGTTCAGGGCTGCAGGAGCAATTGTCCATTATTTTAATTGGATGATACTGGCCTACGTATGCATGTGAGCAGTCATTCTCACATCTTAAAAACATCAAGTCCAACCTACGATCACGTTTAACGGATGAAAGCCTCAACGCTTGCATGAAGCTTAACCTCACCAAGTACCAACCCGACTACAAAGACATCAGCAAATCCATGCAGCACCAGAAGTCGCATTAATGGTGAGTGTTATAACAACATTATTTAAAAGAATAAATTCAGAGGCTTATTATACTGACATTTAGTTGAATTCACTTTTAAAATATATTATATGGCTCTCACTGAAATAAATTTCCAATTTTTTTGCTTTCATGGCTCTCTTAGTCAAAAAGGTTCCCGACCCCTGCACTAGAGTGAGCTCTAGTGAGCCCCTATATTAGGAATTTAGCCCACTCTTCATGGTGGCCGGACGTCTTGGAAGAGGTGAAAGTCCCCATAATTTACAGAATCAAAATGTATTTACAATGGAGGAATCCGATGAGCTATGAAGCTCTTTTACGCAGATGCCGATTGGCCAACTGAATGCATGTATGTTGAACTTCTTTCGCCCTGTACGTAGCCAACCGTACTACTCAGAGATGCGGGAAACTGTGGTGTAACCATTTACACTCCAAGGTGGACAGAGACAGGACGATTTAAGACACTTCCACTATCTTTTCAACTACCTTGCCGATGAGATAGCATCGAACCGGCCACCTCTGGATTGAAATGCTAGTGTGTTGACCATCACAAGCTTTCATGTATGTGCCAAAACGTAGCCCGGTAACAATTTTGAAACAGCTGATTTTGTATAGCTGACAAAGCAGCCCTTTTCTTCGCATGCATTTTTAATTCTGAATGCCTCTCTACGAGCGCTTTCGTATTGCCACTGTGACATTACTTTCAGCAATTTACAGCCCCCCCCCTTAAATATTTTATTGACAATAACCACAGGCTGTAAAAGTATAAATGCTTCTTCGGGACCAATTTTAAATTTGCAAGGTGGTGTCGGGGTTTGACATCCACGCTCGACGATAACGAAATTTAACACCCATCTGTGGCACAAACTCTCCAGAATGCAGACAGGCAAGCGAGCTGCAGGCAAAGCTTGCATGCAATCACACGCACGCCGGCCACACTCCACAGGTGTTTTTGGAAAAATGTATTTTATCTTTTCCCCAACCCCCCCACAATTGTATCCCGATTGTGCTATTGCCATCACGTCATGCCCCGAAGTGTCAATTGGGAATTGCTCGCACAGCGGCGCAACCCTTCGCATTGCAGAACCGCCCGCAGAAGCGGATATCGCAGAGCTGCCTCCAAGATCATTTCAAGTGACCTCTAATCCGCACCGTCCCAACCACCCTGGGGCAGAAACTAATTTAACATGAAGGTTTTTTTTTTATGTAGTCATTGGGCGCATATGTCTTTAGTGAAAGAGCTCGAATCTTATAAATATTTACCAAGGCCTGCGTCCTGGACTGTCAGATAATGTAATGCTTAATTACAAAGAAATGTTATCCGCTGTTATGTCACGAACGTGACATTACTCCCACATGACTTAACAACCTCATTGCAACTTCTCAGGAGTGCTGTGAGGAAGCTCGTAAATGCATTTTAAAAGTCTATTTTTGTCATGAAGGAAGCTGAAAATGTGTGTGTGTGACAGCCGAGCAGAACACAGCCCATGTGCTACAAGATAATAGCTGTTTGTCTTTGAGTTGGATCAACCTTTAAACGTCAGGAGAATAGGATTAGTCTACCGTGCTCCTCCTAAAACTTCATAAATTGTTTACAAGAGTGTATTTTGGGTTACTCTCCACACTGACCAGACATCTTGGAAGGGATGGGAGTACCCACACTTTACCACAACAAACGTTATCTGCCGATCTATGAACTGTGGTGTTATCATTTATACTGCTGGGTGGACAGGGGCGGGGAGATTTTAACAAACTTGTCCCATTGTTTCAACTGCCACGCCATGAAATCAATCGGCAACCTCTGGAATGCAAGTCCAGTGCGCCAACCATTACACCATGGCAGCATCCCTAACCCATTAAGTAGTGGAGCTTTAAATGTTTAGTCAGACAGCCTTCAGACGAAGCTATCAAAGAGGAAAAGTGGATCACCTGCATTCATTTGCAAGTCAACTTAGTGGCTATGCAGTTCGTTGCCTCAGGGCCTTGTACAAGCTCAAGTTTGCAAGCAAGAGCTCGTTTTGTTTAAAGGGAGTCACTAGCTACATTTTTCAGAGAAAAATGAACCATAACTGCATGGAATAGGCTGCTCAATTGGACCTTCTCCATATTCTTCTATTCTGTGCCTTTTCTCGAGTCACATCCACTGTCCTGATATCTCAATCTGCCACATTCCCCGGTCTCACCCTCGGTCTCTCGCTAATCCGGTGGCACCTCCATATAATAATTTACGCTTATAAAGCGTAATCTATGAGTGGGTGGCCATGTGAGTCTATGGGTCTCTATGCAAGTCTATGGGTTTGTCTCTTCTCAACACATTCCCCAACCAATTAAATCTAGTGTCCCATGAAAAACAGGAAGGGGGACAATGTTTGTTATGGCTTACTGGCTAATCTCCCAACAGGTTAAACATTACACACAATGTTGTGACTTCCAGGTCTATTGATGGAATATTTTTCAGAATTTGTCCATAAAATTCCACCCTGATTTGAGCACAAGTACTCTACGTAAAAAGGCTCCATGATCGTCATTCACAATGCGTCAAAAGAGAAAGATTTTTTTTAAAAAATCTGCATTCAAACTAAGAGTCGCAACTCTTCTTAACTCATCCAATGAACAAAATCATTGCTACATATGTTATAATTATTGTACCCTTTGTCATGTTTGTTATAACACTCGTAATAACCGTGGCTTGGCTCTTCGAGAGAGTGGAAACTGATGTTGGCATTAAATGGATTCATGCAATTTGCAAATGATGTCTCACGGTTGGGCAAAGCCTGGACAATGCAGTGACCTGGCTCAACCGTACGCTAATCCTCAACAAAGTGTGTCGCGAAAGAGAAAAGGTCATATATAATGCATTGGCAAAATATATCACGGATACCATTAACCTCAGGTCATTACACACACTTCTGTACACATGTGACAAGATAAGCCATTAAAGAGAGCGCTCAAACGTGTACAGTATGCCAGTTCATGACGCATGACTTTCCCCCAAAACCATAGGAATGTGGAATTTCCACCACTGATTGAAGGTTGCCCGGCAGATATCAGCACCACCCCTACGCTCATTAGCGGAGGAAAACATACACATACTTTGACTTCAACTGAAAAGACACACACAGAGTTTGACTTTAATATCAAGACCTTTCAAACAGGGTGCGGCAAAAGACAGGAACCATACTTCTGTACAGTACATTAACGAAAACGGACCACTGTCCAAGCAGACGAGGAGAAAGAAAGCGTCTGAGGCACTACCATCCCTACAAATGTTTAATGTCTACATAGAACTAAATTAAATCCTATCACAAACCTTCTTTGGGTTTCAGTTGATGTTATATTAACAGAAAATGCTTAATTTTGTTTGTGTAGGATTAAGGGTTTAGGGTACATGGTTAGAGAATACGATTAGTTATTAGGCGATTGGGTTAAGAGTTGGGGTTTGGTGTTAGGACTGAGTGTCAGGGTAAAGGTTTAAGGGTTCGAATGTAGGCTAATGGGTTAGGGCCAGTAGTACTAATACTGCTTATTTTGCCATAAATCTGTTGGGACCGTAGCCTCCATCTCTAGTCATTAATGAAGGGTGATCGCAAAGTATGGCGGTCATGAAATCGCTATCATTCCTGACCCTTCCCGCACCATGCACATTTTAAAAAGGCTCACCGACTCCGAAGAATTGTTTTCTAGGCGGGTCCTGCATTGTCAGGTTAGGAAAATTCCATTCATTAGTGTTTGATATGTGGTCAAAAACTGGAATAGCTGAAGCAAATACACCAAATTAGAGAACACTGAAGAGCCCCAGGCAAATTGTATTCGGCAAAAACACCAGTTGGTGTACCGTGCTCCCATGTCCATGGTCGCATCGTGACCCAGCGGGTTAGGAAGTTTCATACATCTCGGCGTGATCCATCAACCCTTGCAACCCCAATACCGCTGGGTCACACTGGCGTGTGTCACCAGGAGGAAAGAACAAAAATAATTCAAAGCATTAACGCAAACACTCAATCGGCACTTCAAGTACACGTTGCACACTTGCGAAAAAGGGCAAAAAAAACAGAGCGCGTTTAATGATCTCACAATACCAACGGAAGTTGAGCATAAGGGCCAACAACGTGATTTGTCTAAGGGATAGTCATTTTTAAATTTTGATTTGAAGCGTTCGTGACTGCAGGGATTCATATTCTTGGTTCTTTCGGTAAAATCACGTAGAAGGGAAACAATAAAAATATAAAACAATAAAATTCTCACGACGTTTCGACTGCAACACAAGCAATCATGATCAGTCATTGTCACTTGTTCTCCCTCATTGAATATCTTTCTCGGAGACTTGCATTTTCCCCTCTGCTAACGGAGTCTTTACTGCCATTACAATTGTCTGCAAAGTTATTCCTAAGGTAGAAACGCCTCATTCTTATCGCAATTTTTTACGATAATCTCAGCTTGTCACAAGCATTCCCATTCGCAGTCCAGCGAGTTTGGAAGCCTTCCAAATCACTGCGGAACCGGCTTGTTTTTTTTTATATCTCAACTTGACACTTCAATGCATTCACGCAAAATTGTTTCCCGTTCAATCTAGTCGTTCACAGCTCCAAATCAGCGAAAATACCAGATTCATGTGGTGGAGGGGCGAGTCTTTATGTAGACCGACTACTATCCCAAACAACGGGTGCGTTTACATTTCAAATGTCCTGTTATTTATCCATGAACGCACCACCGTCTGGGTTGACAAACGGAGTGCTGCACAGGGAAACACCCATCACTCACACGAGGGTGAGGAGGGCTAACATCACTCTAAGACTCACGCGGATTAAAAAAAAAACACCTACTTGCTGTAACTACCACCTCGCAGCCGAATCGGGTTCGGGAGTTTAACAAATCTCTGCGTGACACACCAACCCTTTCCCCTCCAAAGCCCCCCCGGATCAAAGGCGAGCAGAGACATTACGCCCTGATTGTAGTTTAATTCACATTTTGGTGATTAACTCAACCATACAATTTACCGGGTGACACAGCGCTCGTAAAACAAAGAGGTCCCGTGCGCAGCACCCGCCGCTACCGGGCACGATCATTCGGCGGCGGGGCACGACATCCAAACTCTCCCGGCTGCCGAAACAGGCAAGACCGTAGGCTCACCTGCCCGACCAGGCCGCTCTCGTTCTCATCCTCCTCTCCGTTGAGCACTCGCCTCAGCTTATCCATATTACTGGCGCGGCGCCAACACAACTCGAGCGCGACGCAGAAAGCAAAAAAAAGTGTCTCTCGCGTTCACGGTCGTGAAATAATTTTGTTATAAAGTTTTTTGGCACTCAAAGCGAACCACGACGTCCCTCTTGCGTTACCCCCAATGCAGAAGTCAACACTCGGGTCACGTGGGGGTAGGGGGGGGGCTTTACCCTCGAGTCTCGTGACTACGGGTGCCCCGCCGCGGTAAAGCCACGCGTTGGAAATTGGCGTTTGGAAAAGGGATTAAAATTGTGTTTATCGCAACAACGCACATTGGCACTGCGTAAGGGGCTTTCGCGACCAATATCGCGATCTCACCCAAATAAAAACCCCTGTATTATGGAGCACATTGGAACCCTTTAAATATTTGGTTCTTCTTCTTAAGCTGGGGTGCATCTCACATTTTTAGAAGGTAAATCATCGAAACAAATTAAACACAGGCACGTAAGTGCAAGCACTTTGTTTCATCAAAACTATGTAGTTATTAACGTTGTACATGTTCTAATTATTGAGAACTAAAGGAGTGCAGTAAAGGTGTCCTCTGGTCTAACACCGTTTTGAGACTAGGCTCAAAAGAAAGCTGTCTCTGGTGTGGACCAATCAGTTTCAAAGACAATGCATCATATATTATCAGAGTTTATAAAAGGTTTCAGTTTGGTTTTTTCAGTAAAGTCACATTTCGGTAAAGTCACCTGTTTTGTTGCCAGAAAAAAAGGTGGAAAACCTATTCTCATATTTTGGTACTGGCAAAGGAGGTCCCATGATGAGGTTAAGAACCACTGCTTTTTATTTTATATGACCAGGTAAGGCCCACTGAGCTATATAATGGTAAACCTAAAGCCCACTGAGCTATAGGTTGTTTTTTTCCAGAAGCGATTTGGCCACAAATGATATCTCAGCGAAGTCAGAATAAAAAATATATTTATCCTGCTGGAGGAATCCGATGAGCTATAAAGCTCTTTTTCACAGATGTCCAGTAGAGGCGGGTCAGAACGTTACAACAACAATACAAAAACCCAATAGGAATTAGGAATGCAAAATATAGGAAAGGTATGCAAATCACTAACAAATAAAATTAAGTTACATTTTTTAAATTATATTTCATCAGATGAGGCACACTCAGCTATGTAGCTATTTTTCAGCAACGACCTGGCCACCAATGATAAGTCAACGAAGTGGCTTATGTGGGAATTTATAGCAGCCAAATACTCTAAACGGCTGTCGGTTCTAAATGTGGAGTGGAAAAACCGGAGGCTCATAGAAAAAAACACGCGACCACGGGGGGGGGGGGGGAGACACGCATCAGGGTCGCGTTCAAACCCTCGACCTCCTGTACACCCAGCGAGGTAGTTAACATCTCGCCACAGTGGCGCCCTACCCACGTGTTGCCCCCCCCCCCCCTTGTGGAAACACACGGAATAGGTCCCGTATAATGACTGCGATATCGAACTGAGGGTCCCTTTCTTTGCCTGTCAATATCTGGTAGTTGAGATATTTACATTTCAGATACTTACAGCTGATTCTGCTGATGAGACGCTGTATGTCGAAACTGGTATCTGACAGTTCAGATATTTGCAGCTGATTCTTCTGCTGAGACACTGTTGAAACCAGTCCAGAGTTGGCTTGTTTGAACCGATGGTTCAAACACCGATGGTTCAAACAAACCTGACTGCCGATGAGACGATGAATGTCTAAATCAGTCCACAGTTTGCTCGCGTTGAACCAATGCTGCTGAAATAATGCACTCCCAAAAAGCCGTGTGGCTGATGGGATGTATACTTTTTTTTGTATGTGGATGTGAAGGAGGAGCATTGTCTGTTTTTTTTTATTATGATGTATATAAACCGAGCTTGGAGTCAATTCGATTTCTGTACATTATGAGATACAAAATAGTTCAGGCTAGAAACAGAGAGTGCTTTTTGATAAATGACGCACCCCATCACCGCGCCGCGTGTACCACGCACACAGCCGTGTTCTGGACCACCAACTTAGAAAAAAGAGTCTCAAACATTATGGCCATTATATTTTAGACAGCAGCCGGAGAATGAGCGTGTACTGCATTTACGTGTATCTGGTCAGGCTCAAACGATGGCAGCAGTGATCAGAAATACAGTACTGATCTATACTCCAATTGCCTTTCATGTATCCCTTTCATGTACCAGCTGTATTTCATTTCGAGCGGGGGTCGGCAATCTGCGGCTCCAGAGCCGCATGCGGTGGCTCTTTAAGGACTGCAGTGGCGGCTCGTGAAATCCTAAAAAGAAAAGTCTCTTCTTGTTATTCTGGTTGCTGACCCCTGACCATGGAAGTCAAGTTCACCACGGGAGTCCAGTTCACCATGGGAGTCTTTTTCACCATGGGAGTCCTTTTCACCAAGGAAGTCCAGTTCACCATGGGAGTCCAGTTCTCCATGGGAGCCCAGTTCACCATGGAAGTCCAGTTCACCATGGAAGTCCAGTTCACCATGGGAGTCCAGTTCCCCATGGCCCGAGTATACCATTTAATTCCCATGTTGTGGTTTGAGTTCATGTATTATGAAAGAGTGGGTCAATAAATGCCCTCCATGGGGGGCCTTTACAACTCTCTCGAGTGGAGGCCCTTTCACCAGCAGTGGCTTGATCAAGTAATTGCAGGGCCTGCACCTTTACTTTTTATTATGTAACTCGATTTTGCAGGTGATGAGGCCTTTTTTTGTATCAATAACAATACCTATTTTACAAGCTTGATATTTGACCGTTATCAAGAATAAACCTACACTACAGAGCATTTAATTACAGCTTAACTCATAATTTCAAGTCGCATTATAATTGCTCCTGTCCATTTGACATTTGGGCATGGTGAGCCGACGAATCCTATACAGTGCGATGTGTTTACATAGCGGGCCGTGTGCCGTGCTAATGTATGCACAGGGGTATTGAAGCGGTGCACTGAGTAATGACGCTGCCGTCTATTCTCTGGGCAATAGGAGCGGCCATGGCGGATGGCGGAGATCTGGTGTGGGTGGCTTTCCTGAACAACGGTAAGGCAAAGAAGCCCAGTCTCGTTTTGCCTTTGCTATTACCTTGCCTTGCTTGCAATCTGCACGCACCTTTCCGTCTGATGTATGTGTGTATGTTGAACTTCTTTCCCACCGTGCGTAGTTAATCGGAGATGTGATGAGTTTCTCACACCAAATGTACCCATTTTATGATATCCTCACCGTTCATGGACAGTTTTAGATTTGGTCTCAAGCCATCTCCTTTTGTAGTTTTCTCTCAATGTACATTTTTATCTGCACTGATTGTTTTATAATAATAATTTTAAAAAACATGTTTAGAGCTCTCAAATAGTTTGCCATGGTCGTATTTGATTTAATCTGACATCAATTTTCTGCTGTCCTTACTTCATTATTTGTCAACGTTGCTCTCGAAAATGCGACTGCCTGCCATGGGCTCCCTTCCTGGTTAATTAAATTGTGTAACCACATTGGCAGTGGTGCAAGAGCCCAAATAAACAACAACTCCACGCATTTGTCAATAGCATTGCCCCGAAACGTCACCTATTATATTGACGTAAATGGTGTCACTCGGGTGTTCACGCCAGCTACTGTTACAGGAGTGCAACTGTGCGTCTGGAGCCTCTGTCTAGCACCAAAATAAGTGCGGCATGTCAGCCAGCCCTAGGGGGCACAGTCCTGGTGATGGCCTGAGAGAGATGGCAAGGGAGGACGTGGTAGCCTGAGTGGGGCACGTGATGCTTGGTCGAAGTCGGAGCGAGGCCACGCCCAGGAGCATCAAGGGTCAGTTCCGAGAGTGTTCTTGGCTCGTCGGTGGAATCAAGCCGGGGTCCCGCGTCTCGTCGTCTCCGGGTCTTCGTCTCGAGTTAACTCGCTACTCACGTAGTGAGCCACATCACCTTCTAGAGAACCCAAGTTACGTTCGGTTTTGTTAAATAAAAGTGTTGCCTCCCAGTCCAGAGTGTGTGCCTCCGTGTTGAACACTACACATGTATTTAATGTAAGGGGGTAGTTAATTAACGAACGTGTTGAGTTTCTATTATTTGTGGTACATAATCTAGCACAGTTCTGGTGGCGACTCGAGACATTGTGAAGGCGCCTGATAATTGCAAATTAGTATTGCTTTTTTGCCTATTTTACAACAAAGCATACCACAATACCTCGCTTGCATCCCTGTTTCTTATTTAAACAGTCAAAAATAAAATGGCCAACGTTTATTGAGACTTTTTGTTGTTAATTTAATCAAGAAACGGAAAACTGAGACGTTGTAAGATGGTGATCTCGTCATACTGCGCCAAAAGAGGGAAGCAGCACATGTAAATGCAGTGTTTTATATGTATGTTGAACCTCTTTCGCGCCGTACATGGCCAACCCTGTATTCAAAATTCAATATCTCACTCGATATTTTCTGGAACGCTGCTAGGCCGGCTCGGAGTGGGAATTATCTGGAGTACGATGTAGGCCTGTCACCACACTCACACTGCCGCGGGATGATGGGGACAAAATATGGCGAGATGGATGTGGCGTGCAAAAAGAAATATTACTGGAAAAGCATTTCGGACTGTGCGAGGCTGAGAGCAGGCACTGGGTGCATTAATTACGTGGCTGTCAATAACAGCAAATGTTTAATATCCCGGGAAGACTTCGAGATTTCCCAGGACAGCGACGTCAAAAGAGGATGCTCCTGGGAAAACAAGAGCAAGTGGACATCTTGATATTTACAACTTTAGAAAGCTGTGCAAATGACAGCAACTTTCAGCAGCGGGATGCACGGGGCAATGACGGCGCGGCAGTTGACTTCCCATTACCCGTAGGGGTGGAGTAACCGATCTTGCAAATGCATATTTTCACACACGCAGGTTCCATCAATGTCCACGTAAACCACAAAGCATGTCGTCGAGTAATCCGATGACTTTAATAAACAAAAAACACGTGACACATCATATATCTTCCCCCCCACCGATGCTATAGTGGGAAATTAATAATACGCACGTTGTCACCTTGCTCGCGTACGGTTTTGCATTACGTGTGATGTTGCGTAATCTCGGCCGCCTCTCGCTGCCATCTCTCTGGATGATCGACGTCCGAGTGTGCCCCGTGCCTTCCTCGCAGGCGAACGAGCGGAGAGTCCGCGGTGCGTGCACATCAACAGGGCGGCGGACGCACGCGCA